TTTAACACTGTCGTAGGTTAGGGTTCCTCCATGTCTACAACGTGAGGTATCGCGCGCAAAACCCCAAAAAATATACACTTGGCCAAACATAATATATATGCTTCAAGTTTGTTTAGTGTGAGACGGGCTTAACAACAAAAAATCTCTTCTGAAAAACTGGGCCGGAATTCTGGTCCTCGAAAACGCTCACCGCTTTTCAGTCACTCGGCACTTCTAATGTAAATTTACATTGATAGTGCCGAGCGACTAAAAAGCGGTGAGCGTTTTCGGGAACGAGAATACGGGTCCGGCTCCCGGATTCTATTCTACGAGTCGAGTCGAATTTCATATCGAATTGTCAAAATAGCGATTCTGTTTTTCGATTTCTCAATACCTTTTACACGGTACGTCTGGAGCTGTCGTATTCGATGTCGAGACAATTCGACTCGACTCGTAAAATAGAATTTGGGGGCTGATCAAACAGTTTTTGTCAACGTCAAAGCTGTAAATGCAACATGTTTTATGTTATAATGGTTTAAATATGACATTGACGACTCTTTTTGTTATTGTCGAGGGTCGATTTACATAATACAACACAATAGAAAAATGCGTATCAGTTTTATGATTGACCAAGTGTATATGTATGATACTTTGGCGAATGAGGCTATACATTTTCAGAACTGTATCTTCAGCATAGGTTGGCGAAGGAGAAAAGCACATACAAATTAAATTGTCACAGCTCCCCCTTTCCTACGACAGGAGGAAAAGGAACAGTGGAAACTTTTCCGACGATCAGCCAAGCTTGAGAAACAAGGCAGAGATAGGGAACGTTAGAGAGAGAGAAAACAAAATATCAACAAGCAAAGAAATATGAAGTCCAAGTAAATCTTCGTGTAGTGTATCTGCTTACATCACCTTAAGAAAAACCATGAAGGTAAGATAACCATCATCAGGTAAAGTGAAAGTGAAGGTAAAAATAAGCAAAATGGTAGAAGAGAAGAAAAAAAAAGAAAAGAAAGAGCAGTAAAGAAGCGTTGGCCGTCCTGTGGCGAAATCCCTTAGGTTGTCCCTACCTGGTACCCAGTGCAGACATTTTATTTTTTTTTAATTTTAATTTTACTTGCAGATGACTTTTGAATTTTGCGTAGCCAGTGTTGCGTTCTACTCTCGAATTCCATAGTAGAACCTGGTCTTGCACTGGATGCCAGTGAAGAACTCCCCAATACTTCTCCACCACAAAACGACCAAAGAGTGGATAGAAGAGATAAAAGACGAGGGAGTAGAGATTTAAATTTTCCCAAAAGACCCACCAACAGTTGGTAGCAAGATATAGCTCCGCCAGTCTGAAAGATGCCTCCCCAAAACCTTTTTTTTTTTAAGCTCATCATCTAGCTCAGTTGCATGAGTCAACATGCTGTATACCTTCTGTGACGGGGTATTTTGAATACTTCCCAACCAAACACGGTGTTCATGGCACAAGGGCCACCATTTCGACTTATAATAAAACCCGGTTGCAGAATTTCAACAAACTAATCTGCACCAAGTAAAATATCAATCTCATTACTCCTTTTAAATTCAGACTCAGCAAGACACAACTTCTCAAGATATCTCCATCTTCGAAACGTACAGGAAACACAAGCAACTGTTTCAAAAATATGGGGAATTACAAGAGCTAGGACCTCATAAGAAGGACACAATTTCTCAAACTCTCAAACCAAAACAAAGCCTCCTGTCGAACCAAACCGAGCCCCAACTTCAGATACCCCCCTTTATCTGACGACATGGCGCCCAACGTGGGGCCACATACTCTCTCTTTACAAATCCAAATCTTTCAAATACCTCAGTTTGCAGAAATAAATCGCACCCGGATAAGAAATGGGCACTCCTTTTACAAAACTTACACATATTCTTTTGAGGGATCGTAGTGCTGAAATTAAAAGGTCCTTTGGTTCTATCACTTGCTCCTAGTTTCCCTGCTCCCTGCTGCTTGCGTCCACCAGTACCTACGGATCCAGAGGACAGACAGCCTGACAATTTTATTCCAAAAATGAATAAAGTTTCTCATAAGTGGGAATTTTATTCTGCTTAAGTTCCAATTCGAACAAAGGTTGAAGTGAAGGACTAACCTTTTGACGCAATAAATTAAATTTAGTAATTCCAGTTTCTACCATTCCAGTTTTCACTTCTAAAGTTTGTATATCAAAATAAGCTTCGATATAAGCGTTCTCTACCTACTTGAAACTTAACTTTGAAGCTGCCGCATTCGGAAACTAAACTGCTTGCGCTGAACCATATTGTGTGTGTGTGTTTTTAGTTTATACTTTTTTTTTATCTCGATTGAATTAACAGTTTTTGAGAAACTGTGTAACGGTTTTATATTTTCCAGAATTTTCAAATGTGCAAAGTTATTTTCAAAAAGCGAGAAATATAAATTCACCCGATTCTATAATAAGTATCCCGTTTCAGAGTATTTGTTCAATATACAATCTAGGAATGATTAATTATATTGCGTTTCACCTCTAGAAACTTTATTAAAATTCCAAAATAAACAGGGTCGAATTTGCGGGGGTAATTGCAATCTGATAAAAAATAGCTCGTTTTCTAAAACTTTAATTACTAACCTTATAAAACTAAATTATAAGTTCACAAGAGTAAACGCCTACAATCAAAGTTCTTTTACGAAAGTCTTATACCATTATCTTTAAAATTTCTTTGCCGGCAGCGGTAATTAGAATTTCTTGACCTTTAGATAATTAATAATAGAGGTATTAGATGGTTTGAAAAGTTATGAAAACTTCAATAAGCTTATATTTCTAACCAGTATGAAAGACTGATTAAATAGTTCCTTTCTATTTATCTTGTCTTGTTAAACTTTTCTTTAGGAATCCATACTCCCTCAAAGGGGCTTTTCAAAGACAATTAAACAAAAGCCCCAACAAAAAATTGTCTTTATCCGTTTCTTTCATTCTTCCATCATGGGAATTGATAGTGCTTTGGCTATATAGGTATTTACTTACAAAGCTGCTAGCAAAGAAAATGAGGGAATAAATAAAAGTAACTCCTGCTTGCTCGTTCCTATTCTCAGTTTTACAACATAGCTGCAAGTTTGAGAAGGGTCCTAGGAAAAATAAAATCAATTTGGAGGTAGCAAAATTAGTTTTTTATTTGGAACAGGCTTTCGTAGGTCTTAGTTTAGGGAATAAGTTTCTATCATTTAGAAGGTGCGTTCACATGAGTTTATTTCAAATGAAAGTTTATGTTTCAATTTCGGTAAATCCTCTATTTTCTTCCAATTACTAAGGGGATAGTTTTGACCCCGAAGTATAATAAAGTGTTTAGTTTATAGTTTTTAATACCTTCATTTCCATTTCCTATTTCCGTTGGTGTGACTTGTTGTGTCACATTATTTGAGCTCCAACTGTATCACTCCATAATTCCTTTGACATTTTAGCATCTTGAGTCTTGGCTTATTAGAAATGTAACACCTAATGAATGTATACTAGATTTCCTCAATTTATCCTATAGTGAATCTTTCTGAAACCCTTGCAATTATCAAAACGAAAATAAAATAAAAAACGCAACAAAACTGATCCACTACCCGAGTTTCTCAATTGCTCTTTACAATTTCTAGCGAAATGAAGCAATGTCCAAAAAGATTTATTCGCTCTCAACACCGCACAGGCCTTTTATGTAAATTTTGAATTCCCCTATTTTCTTCTAATGTCGGCAATAAAATCGCCACAAAGAGCCGTTTTCGGCCTTCTTTAGATTCCTAACACCCCTTTATGTCTTGTGAAAGCAACACACAATCAAGGATAACAATAACTCTCATAAAAATGAGGATCTTATACATGCTATTTGAAGAAATGAAAGCATTGTGTAAAGTTCATGTTGTTGATTGCAAAATTATAGTATTTATCGAGAAAAATTTCTAGAAAGCGCATAGAAATTCAGTGAAAATGTTGTTGACGTTTCGGTAGACTACTTAGTTATTTGCTCGAGACGTTAATGGTTCTAGGAAAACGTTTTAAAGCTGACGTTAAGATACTAGAAAAATGGGAAAGTTCAAAGTGCAAAAGTTTGTATGTGTCCCGTTTCAATCTGTTTGACTTCAAGTATGTGGCAAATAAAATCTATATATTTTGTGGGTTTTATTTATATGCTTTTTTTTTCTGTCTGGAGGGTTTGTAACTTTTTGATACCGGAGGCTTTATGAAAAAAAATATATTAAACGTGCTTCTGAAACCAATTCTGTCCATTTATAAAAGAGACACTAATCGATTATTCATTTCAAGGGATGAATATAATATGAGACCATTGACTTGGAGAATATTCCCCTGATAATTTGATGAGTTTGGAACTACTTGGATGGATCTTTGGTCAATTTTTTTTTATTTGTTATTTGTATTTTGGTCCTAAATCTCAGTATATATTAAATATTTCAGATTTTCTTCAATTTTTGGTTTTGCTAGAATTCTGGCAGAAAATGCCCAGCGTGACCTCAAAAAGTGTGGAAGTTTATCGGAGTAAATATTATCTAACTCTAGGCTGTAGGTAACGTGTTGTATGGACTCAATTGTTGAATTTTCTCACTTGGCTTTTTGTCCCATTGTAAAACCGCATATATTTTTTTATTGCGCGTAATAAAGGTTAATGTCACCACAGCGATTTATTACTCTGATATTAGAACTTTATAGGGGTGTTATTTTATGTCACCAACGAAATGACCCTTTAAAAAAATGTCGTTTCTGTTATTTTTGAAATGCTCGTCACGAAATTTGAGATGAAATCAATAATTTCCTCTATTGATTTTCGTATATTTCATAATTAATCAAATCTATTAAATTTTCCTGGAAAAGACAAACACCGAAACAACATTATCACAAAAAATATTTTATTACAAAATGGTCATAAACTACGAATTTGTGCGTTGTCACCGATAAGACATCAATTTTATGTTGTCATCTTGAGATATAACGAGAAAATTAAGATGGATTTCAAGGAAATTCGTATATACTTACAAATCCGTATCCATGTTGTGATAAATCCTCACCATACTATGCACCAGGACGATGATGAAAGGGAAGCCCCAACCGATGGCGTGGAACCACTTCATGGTACGTTCTTCTCTTACAAATACGACAACCAAAGCTAAATGAAGATGAAGGGCTTCGCAAAACATCCACATGTAATTGGCAACCATGTAATATTCTTTGGCTACGTGAACAAATTGGCACCAGTACTGAAAAAAAAATGAAAATATGGTTTATAAATTCATTGAATGTTATTGAAAACAAAAAATCAATGAATTAATACATTAGGTAATACACAGCAAAGAAAGAAAAACAGTTTTTACTGTCCGCAAATCATAGAGCAAGTTACGATTAAACTGAATCAAAATTATTCGCATAAAATTTCCACCGGAATAATATTAAACTACTAACAAGTTTGTATTCTTGTTTTTGTTGATTCAAATTTCACGTCAACAGACCAAAATTGGATTCACTTCTTGTCCAAATTCCAGACACCCCTCCTAAAGGTCCTTGACTAAACATTTGCATATTGGTTTATGTAAAGTAAATTTGTTAGAAGACGTACGCTATTTCTAGAAAAATTACATGACTTACCACGTAAACCGGATATCGACTTTTTTATTTTCCCTTTAAAAATATGTAGATTGATTTTATCCTGAATGATAAATAATTTGAGATCAAAGACCCCCTAAAACACACGAGATAAATTAAAGCAAAAGTTTGCTTTTGAAAGATAAACTTAAGGTGTAAATATTTACCAAAACTCATTGCAGATTTTTAAGTTTAAACGGGTTTTATTGTTGGAGAATAATATAGGAATGCGAGTTTTGGGTCTGAAGGGACAGAAAATTACTTCGTCATCTCAAATTATATACTTTTTTAATGAATTTCAAATATATTGCCAAGGGATTTGCCAATCAAACATAAGTATTTTCGATTGTTGATATTCTCAGATAATCTCTCATAGTTTGTCCTAATTCCCGACCAACAGAACTAAGCAAATACTTAAATATATTTCCCAAGACTTAAGGTTAGAAGATTCCAAAAATTTAAATAAAGTGTAAATATTTAAAAGTATACTTACTGGATTTTGTAATGGAACTGCCACTTCAGCTACTACTTCTCTGTACCATATTATCCACATTATATTATTCAGTATGAACGACATAAAAAGTTGCACATGTACCCTGATCCTGATGCATTTGAGGGTCCTAAAAATTATATATATATATATTCAATAATTCTTTTTGCTATAAGAAATAAATAATTAGATTTTCTATTAGCTTCTTAGTTTGACATAATTATTATATATGGGATAATGAGCTGTTCCGATAATAATTAAATTAAGGTTCACCCTTAGCAAGACCCTTATGTCAACGCAAATTAGTCATGAAGTGATATTAATCATGGAATTAATGATGGCCGTGCCTTTCTTCTCAAGGAAGTGACCCAACCGTAAGAGTTAGATTTATGTATAGAATATTGAACTTTTACGAAAAAGAATAATAGATAAAAGGCTGCAAAGCAGAGGAGACAGCAAGTGGTAGCATTTCACGCCATCTCGTGATATTGATTAGTAACACAGAAGTATTAGGTAGTGTAAAGATCCGGAAAAATAGACCCGTAAATTACAATGTATTTACTGTAAAAATTAAATATAATCAAATAATCAAAAACTGAATTTCCGGTATTTCAAATCAGTATCGATAAATTGAAAATGGAACAAATTAACGTGACCCCATATACATTCGAAATTATATTATTTCGTCCAGCGTGATGTCATCTCGTAAATCATATATCAATGAACTTTTAAGCGAGGCCATCGTACTTAATTAAAGCGATGATTTATGGCATTCTTGAACCAAAAATATCCGTGACTCCGATAAAATCAGGAAATTGCGACATAAAACAAATAAAAATGACAAAAATTTCAAGAGATTGCATCATCTTAATTGTTATGGACAAAGAAATTTTGGGGGGATCGAAAAATATAAATACCGCGGTTTTAGTTGAGATCATCAGAGTGGTCAGATGAGTTCGCAGTCCAGTCCAGTTTGAGTTAAAGTCTACAGTACCTAATGTGTCAGTCCGGTTTCGCGAAAAGTTTCTTTTATGGCGTATGGCCTCGGGTTTAATTTAACTTAGAAAAAGTACGGAAAATCGTGAAAGAAATAACATTTGAAATTCGTTCAAAATTATGTGCTTGCTCTAGAGATTTTTTTTAGTAATTAATTAAGTATTTTACCGAGTGACAATTTAAATGTAAGTACTTTAGTGGTTAATAATTTTCTGACTTTTATCAATGATTCTGAATGATAAGAAGTGAATTGACAATGATGACTTTTAATGCCTAAAAACTTGAGTGATTTTTATTAGTAAAACTTTTTGACTTTATAAATGATTAATGACTATGAAGTGAATTAACTTGGGAACTTTATTCCATAAATAGTAATACTCGAGTGTTTTGACTATGGGACATTATTGCATAACTTTAATTGCCTTCAGATATAATGACATTCTAATTTAATTTTGCAAAGAAAATATGAAGGGAATTTATAATGCACTTAACAAGTATCGATTTGAGAAGGGATTATTAGACAATTTTGAATTGGATTGTCCAATTGAAGTTTAAGGGCTATAGTAACGAACTAATAAGAATTTAAATAATTTTGTATGTTAGCTAGGATTTCTGAAAATCATAATTCTTCTGATTAAATTGATTGATTTGAAATTTGTTGTTCTTAAAGAAACATTGATGATCTTGAGTGCCGAAATTTTGAATTAGGGTTTTATTTTTCAAGTAGAAATTATTGTAAGGTTTTTATAAGAATAAGTTAGTAATACCCATATTAATAAACAAATAGGTACTTATTTTGGTTTCTCATAAGCAGTCAGTAAAGGACTTAGAAATTTTAAAGAATTTATAGAAATAGGTGAAGGGTAGTTTAATAGGAATGAATCGGAAGTGTTGAAATGAATAAGTTATTAGGAATAGTAGGAATAGGGCGTTTCTTTATTTGTATGGATATTTCAGCGGTCCGTAATAATGACATTTGAACGGATGTGAAGTAATTGACCTTAGAAAAATAGATGTGGCTGTCAGAATTGGAAGATATTTTGCTGATTTAAATTTTTGGTTTTATGTATAATAAAATATAATTTAGTAAACCTCAATAGTTTGTTTGTCTCTTTTGCGAATAGACCCTTCCACAATTTTATAGGTAGCAGCTCCAAGGAAATAAAAACCATCAATATACCGCTCGCTATTTACCATCTAACCAATTACATAGAGTACTTGAGGCGTTTTGCTATAGTAGGTATATAATAAAATCACCGTAATCGCAATAAAATTGTCTGAAAAATATTATCTAAGTTGTCGTCTATAAAAAGAACATTTGATTTTTATAATTTATTTCTGATTCTTTGCCAGCCACGAAGTGGGTATTCTCCAAAAAAATTAAGCTACACGTGTGATGTCACAAGGACAAAGTCGAAATCTCTAAATTATTCCAGTATAACAAGAGTATATATAAAGACAAAGAGATGATTCTCGGGCTTATTTTCTATGGAATTTTCGACTGCAGTAATGTATTATCTAAGCTGATGCTTTGCTAGAAGGGAAATAAAGAATGTTGCAAATTTGCTACTTTACCCGAACCTTTTCCAAAATTATAAAAGAGACAGTGTTAACCTTCAACTTTAACAATATTTAAAATCTTTTTGCAAACTAAACACTTAATAGGCAACTGCATCCATAGCTCTAAATAAGTCACTTACCTGAAAGATAAAAAGATCCATAAAGAGAGGATGAGGGCGGCCAATGACACAGCGTAGCCGATAACGTAGAGGAAATTAATGAAGTTATAAAACTGGAAAAAATGTAAACGAAAATCAATTACCTACCTAAAAGCTTAAAATAGAATTTTCTCATCTAGCTGAAAATCGAAGCAATTTCAATCAAATCTGTGCGAAATTACAATTTCTAATTAGTGCTCACCTCTAACGATTCAAAATCGATACAATTCCTATAATCCGACCAAGAAATATTTTCTTGGTTGACGTACCAGGAACCATTATCCCAGCATTCCTTGTAAGCTAGCTTGTTAATAATAAAACCTTCGATTCTGGGACAGGATTGGTTGGCTGTAGTTCCTGGAGGAGTTTGAGGCCAACAAAGTGCGCTGTCAAAAACTTCTGGACACCAACCTATAAAAAAAAAAAACGTGTCGCAAATATGTCCCAAGAATTCGAGAAAAATTACCAGGATTTGTATTATTTTGGGTCCCACACATCATCATAGTATTGGGTTGTACCAATTCAGTTTCTGTGTTGTTAGTCATAGAAATCTGAAACAATATATAAATTTAGTATAGGGATTTAATTTCCATCCATAAATTCTTGACTAAAATATATTCCCGAGAGAACCATCCATTTTTAATTATTTGCCAAATACAATTTCCAAGTAAGGATTTATTAGTTTAACTACGCATTGTCCTAATTGCCTTCAGAAAATCAACAGAAAACCAATTAAAATCCAAATGGCAATTATTGTTAGTCTGTAGGCGGTAAATCAGGTCAAAAGCAAAAATCGAATGAGATGACTTTTGTACCCCGAGAAACTTAAACTGGAACATTGACTAATTTAACTGTCGGGATAAACATTCGAAGGATATTTCCGAGGTTAATATAGTTTTAAAACTCGGAAACTATTAACGACTGCCCTGAGGACTTGTGAATTAAATACGTGGCTTGAATACGGTGTTTTATGAACGTTGATGAGGTTTTGATGCAATAGTTTTTCTACATCCTTAAAATTCTTCCTTATATAAATTTCTTGAGTATAGACTAAATATAATAGTTTATCTTTCTAAATACTAAGGAAAACTTTCTCTGATTCCCAAGTTTTTAACTCAAAAACTGGCCGATGTCAACGCTGATAGTGCAAAAACTCACATTTCATTTCGTTTTCTTTGTTAATACAAGACCAATCTTACAAATTGGCGCCTAACGTGGGGCCACGGTGAGTTTCAAGACTGGTAGATTATTGTGTGCCGATCGCGATTTTCGTGTAGTTGTTCGACGAAACCCCTGGTGTTTTTACTGTTTTTCGCGCTCGTTTGGTACGGGAGTCATCACCGAGAAACAGCCAAATTGTGAACAACTATGACGCGTTAGGTACTGCGTCAGTTATACAAGACCAATATACAGTAATCAGTTTTCTCTATCGGTTCTCGTTTGATTCTTCCCGTGCACTCAACTTCCCTAAGAATTATCTTACAAATTGGCGCCCAACGTAGGGCCACGGTGAGTTTGAGGCTGGTAGAGTGATTATTGTGTGCCGAACTCGATTTTCGTGTAATTGTTCGACGAAACCCATGGTGTTTTTACTGTTTTTCGCGCTCATTTGGTACGGGAGTCATCACCGAGAAACAGCCAAATTGTGAACAACTGTGACGCGTTAGGTACTGCGTCAGTTACATAAGACCAATATACAGTAATCAGTTTTCTCTATCGGTTCTCGTTTAATTCTTCCCGTGTACTCAACTTCCCTAAGAATTATCTTACAAATTGACGCCCAACGTGGGGCCACGGTGAGTTTTGAGGCTAGTAGATTGATTATTGTGTGCCGATCGCGATTTTGGTGTAGTTGTTCGACGAAATCCATGGTGCTTTTATTGTTTTTCACGCTTGTTTGGTACGGGAGTCATCACCGAGAAACAGCCAAATTGTGAACAACTATGACGCGTTAGGTACTGCGTCAGTTATACAAGACCAATATACAGTAATCAGTTTTCTCTATCGGTTCTCGTTTGATTCTTCCCGTGTACTCAACTTCCCTAAGAATTATCTTACAAATTGGCGCCCAACGTAGGGCCACGGTGAGTTTGAGGCTGGTAGAGTGATTATTGTGTGCCGAACTCGATTTTCGTGTAATTGTTCGACGAAACCCATGGTGTTTTTACTGTTTTTCGCGCTCATTTGGTACGGGAGTCATCACCGAGAAACAGCCAAATTGTGAACAACTGTGACGCGTTAGGTACTGCGTCAGTTACATAAGACCAATATACAGTAATCAGTTTTCTCTATCGGTTCTCGTTTAATTCTTCCCGTGTACTCAACTTCCCTAAGAATTATCTTACAAATTGGCGCCCAACGTGGGGCCACGGTGAGTTTTGAGACTGGTAGAGTGATTATTGTGCGCCGATCGCGATTTTCGTGTAGTTGTTCGACGAAACCCATGGTATTTTTAGCGCTCGTTTGGTACAGGAGTCTTCACCGAGAAACAGCCGAATTGTGAACAACTGTGACGCGCTAGGTACTGCGTGAGTTATACAAGACCAATATACAGTTATCAGTTTTCTCTGTCGGTTTTCGTTCAATTCGTCCCGTGTACTCAACTTTCCTAAGAATTATCTTACACAATGTAATTTTAAGCCAAAAATGCTGAAATGATACCTTAAGAGGTAGAACCTACTAGAAAAAATAATTTGAATCAGATGAATAATTAGTGGTATATTTCAAGACAATTCGATTTTGAAGGTGTACATACTCGAGAATAGAACACTATATTCCGGAACACTACACTAAATTAAATTCCAATAGTTTATTTATCTTCGTAACTTTCTGATTATATATTGGTACGTAGATATGATACTACTCAAAGGATTCTCTGGACTGTTATTGAATGGCTGCAATGCTCTTATTTTCAAATTTCAATAGTAACTGAGCTCTTGGGAATTGGATTATTAAAAGAAAAAAAAATTAAATTTCAAATACACATCCTTTGTGAAATTATGATATCATTTCTAAATAGAAAAATTCCTATAATGGAGCCTTGATAGCTCAACCAATATTTCTCTAATCGGCTTATTAAAATCGACAGAAAGCCAATAGGGCTTTGTTAGTCTGTGTAAGAGATAAATCGTATTAAGGGTAAGGCCAGCAGTTTTTTTTTAAACCAGATATAAATTGACTCTTATATACCATCAGAGAATATTGAATAATTTAGCTCTTCAGAAAAATATTCGACTTTTGAAACTCGAAAGTTGTCTTATAAGGACTTCCAAATTAAATACGTGGCTTGAATATGAAATTTTAATGAATTGCGCCAAACCTATTTTTACATGAAGAGCATCGTCGGAATTTTATCGTATCTTTCATTGATTCAGCCGTCAAGTTATTGAGAGTGGCCTAATAATAATTCAGGACAATTATTGGAATTCCAGTTTATTGAGTTTGTCGCTGCATTTCGTAGTCGTTCCCTGTTTTTAGAGGCTGCATGGCAGTAATTTAATTACCCATTACAAAAATTTCATGGTTTTATTGACTGTGTCAATTCAAGCAAACGATTCTTTAATATTTGAAGAGTGATTCCAATTTTAGGAGAGAAGTTTTGATTTTTGGTGAATTCTTCAGATAGCTTTGAAATAATTGTTATTTTTCAGCTTGTAAATATAGTTTGAGGGGAAGATGATGATATATTAAGGATTCCTATGGTCCAACGCTGTATGTTAGTGAATTTGTTATCAGTTAGATATTCACTAATTATTGCAAGTTAAAATTTAATAACTCAATATTTCACTTCTGGTTTTTCCCTCCCTAATATTCTCTGCCCTTGCTTTGTCTGCTTTATCATTTCACTGAAATATACCATTAATGTCTCTGAATCTCAAGATTAATAAATGTCAAATATGATTCTCTCGGCAGTTATGAAATACTTCCTTCTTCGGTTTGTTATTTATTTGAAACAATTTGTTTTAAAGTGCATTGTTTCCGACACATATATAAAGCTCAAATTAAATTTACCACCCAATAAGAATTTCTTATTAATTACTTTTGACTAAATAGACTCCACTTAAAATCGTTTACTTCAAGCATAACGCAAGTAAATAAAGCCTTAATAATTTGTCTTTAGGAAATTTGAATTAAGGCTATAGTTAATTAAAAACAAAATTGTGTCCGACGCCAAAAATTTAGAAAAAAACCTTTGGTATTCATTAAATAAATTGGGCGACATTATATATAATTAGACATCCCTTAAAATTTCAGCCCTGGAAATGCTAATGATTGTATTAGGTATTCAAAAAGGTTCCTTAAAACCGCAAACTTTTCACTTTACCCTGACATTAATGTGAACTAATTATACTTAATTTGAAGGAAAAGAGCCCATTGTATGCCAGCATACGTGTGTTTTAGGAACCCAATTTAAGAATTAATGAGATATATTCAGCATTAATCATAATACATAGGTATTATGCTTATTTACCCATATGAAATTATAAGATGCAGAAATGGGAATCTAGTTTATAATACGTATACCTACTTCCAAGTATTTCACTAAAATTTGAAACCTTTATAAATTCTTAAATAAAGCACTCATATAATATTGCCCCTGAAATTTTCATATAAAAATTCTCTAAATATAAGCGCTACAGACACCTATTTCGTAATTACTAAAAATTCCTTTTGTTTTTTTAACGCTACGATAAACCTTTTCACAATAAACCTGGCTTTTCGTTTCGCTTTATAATAAATCTGTTCTAGTTTGCACTTAAGTCGATTTGTGGCATAACGAGTCGATATATTCACTCTAATGCGTTCAAGCAACCATCAAATTAAATAAACAATGGTCGTTACTACTTCATTTCATTTTCACTGCGGTTAATTCAGGAAGCCGAATTAAGTCAACTATGAATTAATTATTGAGGCAAACAACCAAAAACAATTAAAATTGGTATTGTAAACAAAGAAATTGGACAATTTCCGGGACGCTTCAAATTTACCGAAATTAGGATTCTAACCAAAGGGACTGGCTCTCAATTTCCAACAGGTACAACAAGTAAAAATATAATTCAGTATTTGAAAAATGAGAGGCGCTGGTAAAGTAAAAACATTCACAACAGCTGGCTAGAAGCCGGATATTTCTTGAGTTTGATCCGGACAAGCGATTTTCAATTCTAAATAGGATTGAGACTTCCTTGAATAACACAACAAGAGAGGATATACTTAGCTATGTTGGAAGTCGGAAAATGTTTTATAAAGTATATATTGGTTATTTCAAGTTGCTGAATAAAGGAACACAGAATTCGCATATGTGGTACCCAATAATTTATTTCAAATAATTTTTGTTAGTTTCGTGAAATAGCAGAATATTTAAAACATTATTGATCCTATTTACTCCAGATTTAACATATTTCCTATTGCTTGAATATCACTCAAAACTGTCACAAGAGAAATTTATTTATTTATTTACGGGTCCCATTTACACAATATAATTGAATAATAACAAATCATAAAATTATCAAATTTTGAAAATAATAAAAACAAAACAAAACAATGGAATAGA